TAAATTTTTAAAAAAGTAAAAATACAGCAGATGCTATTCAGCAAGCACAATAAGCAACATAACGTTTGATTGCCTATTATGTACCAGACATTAAACAATCTTATTTGATCCTTACAATGCCTGCACAATACAGACCATCCCCACTTAATGAAAACTGGTTAAGAGACTTTAAGTGATTTGCCCAGGACTCACACTAGTTCACATCAAAGCTGAGATATGAACCAATGACGAGGAACACAAGTACGGACTCTGCACCGTACCTCCTGGTGGTTCTGATCCATACCATCATAAGCAATGAAAACAACTATAGCTAAACCTTGGGACTTAGAGCACTGCTTAGTAAGTTATAGATTCAATGTGAATCCCCATCAATACCCTAAAGGCCAATCTTGCAGAGTTGGCAAAGCTATTTGCAAGGGAATCTGAACAGTCAAAACAACTAAAGAACACTGAAGAACAATGTCAGAGCTTTCTCAGTTTTCTATTTCAAAACTTAACATAGACTGAGCAATGTGGTACATACATAAAATTCCAGCACTCAGGAGGTAGAGAGAGGATCAAGAATTCAAGGTCCGCCTGGCTACATATCAAGGTCCAAGCCAGTCTGGGCTATGTGAGCCTGTAGCTCAGGAAAACAAATAAAAAACAATGTAATGGTGATCAGAACTGTATGGTACTGGTATAAGAATAACACTACAGACCAATGGTTTATTACGAGACTAGAAATAGACTCATAGGTGTTTGGTCAGTTGATTATTGGCAACAGTGCGAAGACCATTCAATAGGGAAAGAATACTCTCTTGAATGAACTGTCCGGTACTCAACATATAAAAGTGAGACTATACCTAACACCATATAAAACAATGAACTCAAAGTGGATCAAAGATGTATTAGTCACTTTTCTGTTGCTCTTATAGAAACACTGACCCAAGCAATTTATAGAAGGAAGAGTTTATTTGAGCTTACAGCTCCAGGGGAATTACAGTGGAGGCATGGTGGGTGGAGGTGGCTGGAGCAGGAGCAGCAGAAGCTAAGCTTTCACATCATCACGCAGACACAGGAAGCAAGAGAGACTGGAGATCTAGCAAGGCTTAAGAACTCTGTAAGCCCACCCCTGGTGATGTGCTTCCTCCAGAATAGCCACACCTTCTAAAACCTCCCAAAACAGCACCATCATCTGGGGACAAAATGTCTAAACACTTGGAGCCTATGGAGGACATTTTCATTCAAACCACCACAAAAGACTGTCTGGCTCTAAATATAAAATTTTAACTACAAAATGTATAGAAAAATGCTTAGAGCTTAGGACCTTAGATTAGGCAGTGGTTTCTCAGATATGATAGCAAAGGCGGAAGCAATAAAGGAAAAAAAACAGGTAAGTCAGGTGTCAACAATACTAAAACATTATGCCCAAGAAGAAATAATCTGCAGGAAGCAAAGCATGCAAAAATAATCTATAAAGCCTGGCGTGGTGGTGCATTCCTTTAACCCCAGCAATGGGGAGGCAGAGGCAAGTAGATCTCTTTGAGTTTGAGGCCAGTCTGGTCTACATAGCAAGTTCCAAGCCATCCAAGGATACAGAGCGAAACCCTGTCTCAAAATGGGGAGGATATTCATAATTGTAAAAATTAGGAAAAATAAATCTCATCTGTAGATGAAATATTCAACTTAATTCTTCTTCTTACCTGATAGTCTTAATCCTAATGTTTGAGAAAGGTGAAATCGAATACCCTCATCCCTGCCATAGATGTGAGTGAATTTCCAGGCAAGAGTGAACTACTGTGCATTCCAATGGACCAGAGAAAATATTCATTCCTCTTACTGGTAAGACTCAATTCTTAAAATATTATTTAAAAGAGTTTATTTCAAATAGTGAA